CCATGGCCTGCAACCAAATAGCGATGGCCTCCAACCCAATTGCCATGGCCTCCAACCTAATAGCGATGGCCTCCAACCTAATAGCGATGGCCTCCAACCTCATAGCGATGGCCTCCAACCAACTAGCAATGTCCTCCAACCTAAGAGCGATGGCCTCCAACCTAATAGCGATGGCCTCTAACCTAATAGCGATGGCCTCCAACCTAATAGCGATGGCCTCCAACCTAATAGATGTGTTAGCTACAAGTGTGGCGGGTCAAGGGAGTACTTGATGCGAGCATTTGTAACCCACCCCAAGATGTCACAGGTCAGGTTGCTCGGAAGTTACAATCACCAACGCGAACCCTGCAAAAGAGTTGCACGGCGCAACGCAGGCGCAACGGCCGCATGCGTTACTTTGCGATCGTGGTCGCACATCGCCTGGAGTTGCGAACCAAAGAGGCCGCCAACAAGTGAAGGGAAGGTGTAGTGTTCCTTTTCTTTTCTTGTGTTTTGTTTCTCTTTTTTGTGTGCTCCTTTTAGAGGCATCTTTTAAAACCCCGCCAGGGTTAGGCCACTATAGGAAGACGTAAGCTAGTAGCTTAAGTAAGCTACTAGCTACTGATGCAGGTTAGCTCCGAGTGTTCATTTGGTGCCTAGATATTTTATGTTGTGTCTCTTTCTGAGGCCGGACCGTGTCAAGAAAGGGATGAAGGTCCAACGAAAATAAGAATAAGCAGTCGAAAGTCTTCTTGTTTACCACTCACGGAACTTGAGCAATTGCCAGCACAGGTGGATTGCCTCCAAGTGGCTATGAAGTATCATTCGGTGCTGGTGGACATCAAGCACCAGGTCGCGGATCATGCAATCAGCGTGAGGAGTTCTACTGAAACCCCTGGGATCATGTAGCAACTTTCCCTGTCCGGTTCAAGTCTTAAACAAAGGCGCCGCAGATTCGGCGCATTCTCAGGGAAGGGCGCCTCTTGCAGGTTTGTGAGGGTGAAGCCAAGACAGGAAAGAATTTAAGAAAAGGGCATCGTTTACATCACAGTAGTAACAAGTGCCACGCTAGTAGTAACAGGTGCCTTACTAGTAGTAACAAGAAGCTATTAGAAACAAGTGCCACGCTAGTAGTAACAGGTGCCTTACTAGTAGTAACAAGAAGCTATTAGAAACAAGTGCCACGCTAGTAGTAACAGGTGCCTTACTAGTAGTAACAAGAAGCTATTAGAAACAAGTGCCA